CGATACCCTGGTTGGCTGCACGTCCCCGTATAGCGAATATAGGTAAGTCGCCCCCGGGGTCTCTGACATCATTTCTATCATTACGATCGATTCTATCAAATCTGATCTGTCATTAAATTCAGGTCCTCCTGTCCAAGTTCGACTGATTGGTGATGTACCTAATGCTGGCCGAGTACAATTGTTGTACAAAGGTGTCTGGAAAAACCTCTGTGACAGATATTATTATTGGAATTCAAATGCTGCCAAAGTCATTTGCCGAATGGCTGGTTATCCTGATGGTCATGCTGTAAGAATGGATAACTATAAGGGATCAGGCGATGTGTGGCTCTCTAGCTATAGCTGTAGTGGTTTTGAACTGTCCATTGAATTATGCTGGAACCTTGACTTGGGAAAAGCGACTTGTTCAGATAACAGTCTAGCTGGAGTCGTTTGTAAATCAGGTAAACTTGCATCAACAATGCTCTCATAGCTACAGTATTCACTCATGTATCATTTATATCCTATGCTGTCGGGATTTTGTACGCGTCAGGGAAGAAAGTATCGCCGCCGTATGAGAATTCACGACGGTTGGAGACTAAGCCTAGGCTCGCACTTTGATGGATTTTATAGTAGCTCATATGATTTAATAATACATGAGTACATACTGTAGCTATGAGAGCATTGTTGATGCGAGTCGAGAGAGATAATGAAATGGGACATTTCCGCAGGTCGTTAAGTTGGAGGAACCTTAACCGCAAATATTTTCTCATTTCAAAGACAGCAAAAGGACACGGAATACGTCACGCAATTCAGACTTAGAGGACTGGGATGTGATTTTATATTAACGCCATCTATCTGCATATTTATATTGAAACAGTTATTAGCTATGAGCGGTTGAAAAGGTTTGTGAATAAACGAAGCTTGTTTCGTGCTAAAAAGTCTAAGTGCGTTAAGTCTAAAGATACGTTGAAATCAACGAAAAATATGAGGTATCTAACAAAGTCTTGCATGTCCTCAATAAGAAATATTACTGGAGTTAATTATTAGTTTATTAAAACCTTTGTCGACCTGGTTAAAGAGTGTCATTGAAACAAGTTTTTAAAGTGTTAAGTAGCCTGAGTATCAGGCTCTCTCGAAGGGGATTGGGGAGGAGCGAAGAGCCTGATTCTCAGGCTAAGTGGTGTCACACCGTGATATACAGTGATCGCTCTGCGCGCTTGTAATGAGCTCAGACCTTAATGACCGATACATTAATCTTTATCAGGATCACCTAATGTTTCATATCGACTTGTTAATGGATCAGTACCTCATGCAGGAAGACTGGAAATGCGATACTATGGTTTATGGAGACCAGTATATTCTCAAAGTGGTTTGCGGTTGAACGATGTTCACGTAATATGTCGCATGATGGGGTACAATCAGGGTATTATTAACTTCATAAACTTTGAAGAAAAGAGACGTAGCTATTATGTTGACATGTACTGCAAGGGTTTTGAGAATACAACGGAACAGTGTGGAGACTACGTCATAAGGTCTTTCAGTTATGGGAGATATGGGAGACAGGGGACTATCTGGATAGTTTGCAAACCACATACAGGTATTTTACTAGCTATCCCTCTGCAGAAGATACAAAAATTGCTGATGATTTATACATAACAAAAAAACATTTGCAGCAAATGCTAGCAAATCAGGAAGTCACTCGTTTATGTGACGTTAACTTTCGCTACTAGACCACACTATGTCCTATTTGTGATCTATTTATTGCAGTTTTGACATGGTATAATTTTTCCTAAATTTGGAAGGGAGACTTTATTTGGGATTCCACTTTTTTCACTAAATTTTAACCACTTACTCATATTTGCTGTGCAGTAGGAAACAATAACTAGCCATACAGAGTCTTATAAATGGTTAATCTTAAATATATTTTCCTCGTTCAAGGATTTAGACTTACTGTTCGTTTGATGGACGGCATCTCTTTGAACGAAGGCCGCGTGGAAATTGGAAATTCAGGGGTCTGGGGCAACGTTCGGGTCATTTGGTATAGACCTTGGAGTTTGACAGTAGTTGATATGGTTTGTCGTATGTTGGGATATCGCAATGTATCATGGACTGGGCGAGCGAGAGTCTCAGGGAATGGCTTAAAGAGACTATTTAGTCATTGCACAGGCAACGAAACATCACTAGAGTACTGTAAATATTTCCCCCGATGGTCCTTCTGGTACTCTATACACTACATGCGCTTCCAAAGCCATGATCTTAGAGTTCGTTGTTCTAGTTATCAAGGTAAGATAAACAAAACTACTTTTCACTAAGTTAGTCAAAGGAAAATGACATGAATAAAGGATTATATGAAAGAGATACTTTAAATTTATACTCCTACGCTTGCAGATCCCGTGACATTACAGATTCGCCAAGAAACGAGTTTCACGCCCCATTCTGGTCGAGTTGGTGTTCGCTATGGTAATTCATGGAGTACTTTATGTTACGAGGGACTAGACTATCCCGATGTGAAGGTGATATGTCGAATGCTTGGATATGTGGATGTCAATCATGTTTACGCAGTGAGGACACCAAGCTCTACTAATGGTCGTGTCTGGCTTAGTGGTGTTGAGTGTAATGGAACTGAAGCTTCAATACTGAATTGCAGTCGCACAGGATGGTGGCAGACGACGTGTGACTTTGACGCTGTAATCACGTGCAAGACACAAGGTACGTTGTAAGTCATCTTCCAAGTTATCTCCGTCTCTTTCAAAGTAATAGAAAAAAAATATGTCATACTGTAGCCTCCAATGTTCTCTCAAAAGCACCTACACTTTAAGCATTGACTGTATCTTCTGGTAGAGTGTTCCATTCTCTTATATTATGAGGAAAATAAGAGTCTATCAAAATAAAATCCTATAAAAATCTTGGGATTTCTCTTCAAACATGGCGATTAGATGGTGCATAGATCAATACCCAAACCTCAGCTAGGATGAATCGGCCCTTGAGTAAGACCCTTACAGTGACATAGGATTATATTTTTCCAATAGACAAGTATCTCATCTAGAAATAGTATTACCGGGAATAGCAACAGCGTGCCTTTGTCCAGTCAGTATACAACTCCTTTTTTTCTTTTCCAGCGCAAACAGCTGTAGACATCCGTTTAGAAAACGGTGCCGCACCACATTCTGGTAGAGTTGGTATTCGCTATGGTAACACATGGGGCACTCTATGTAACAAAGGAATGGATAAGAACGATGGTAAAGTAATCTGCCGCATGCTTGGTTATGATGGAGTAAGTCACGTGTTCACGATTCCTGGAAATGCTACCATTTGGCTCAGTGACCTTGAATGCAACGGAGAAGAAGATTCAATTGCTGACTGTAGTCATTCAGGCTGGTGGCAGACAAGCCATTGTACCCATGACCACGACGCTGCCGTAACGTGCAAGTTAGGTAAAGCATTTTAATCGGGATAACTGTTTCAATGTATATTACTACCTTATCCAGCATTTTTCGCTAAAGTCATGATTATTAAATTTGGTAAACATATTATTTAATTGATATCCTTTGGAAAGCGGATGCTCCTCACTTTCAAATCAGCTCAAGTAACGACATCACAGATTCTGCAGTGATTTTAAACCTTGCCAAAGCTGCTAAGCCACTGGACGTACGATTGGAAAGGTAAAAAAAATGTCTGTTTGACAGATAACAGTTGTCAATATCCTTATTATTCCTTGTTTTCGGTTTGTGTTCCAGCTCGTATCAATTTATGGTTGAAAAAGGTCCTGCAATACCATATCCTATCACTTCACACAGCAATAAAACCATGGAGACATGCTCTTCCATCACCAAGACAGTGTTTAAAGATTCTTACATCGCTGCAGAGGTTCCAGCCAGTCCAAATGATGCTACTAGTTTTACTATTGGTGATGGCCTCTATTACCATGGTTACCATAATGTACCATTAGAACCCGGATGTGTGTATAGGGTTTACTTGAGGATCGTTACAATGGCAATGGATGGGGTAATTAGCAACAGCGAAAATTCTCAACTCTCTTTTATGCTTTCTGTAATCTGTAAATAGTTAGACGTCCACCTCTTCCAGTCGAATATGTTATGTTCAGGGGCGAGTACAGGAGCTTCGTGAGGGATAGTTCCAGCGATTGACCTCAAAATTGCGCGGATACTCTTTTGGATTGACACACAAAAAAAAGCTGTTGCAGTTTCAGACAATGGTTACCCTATCGATTTGCCAAAAATAGTCTCATATTTCAAAAACGTCTTATGTGAAGAAGGACCTGGAAGCACCCCCTGCACACGCCTCTATATGCCCCTTCATTATGATGGACGTACAATAAATACCAGAAAGACGATTAGAATTAATTTTGTTTTGTTTTCAGAAAAAGATTTTGGGAAAATCAAGCTTTGTGAGGTTTGCAACAACTTCATTTCCAGTGGAAAATCCTCCAGAATTTCAAATAAGCGACAGCAGATCCATCCAACAGAAATCCGCAAAAATCACCTTTCTTCGCAAACAGCAGAGGAAACCAAAAGTTTATAAACGGTAGACGTAATTATTGTCAAGTATAAATTATTATAAAAACGCAAACGTGATATGTATTTTTGTATTTACTTTTCAGTTGGTATCAAGTCATTGTCGAAAGGACAGGCATAGACGTGTTCCTATCCAAAGACATGCGAGTAAACCATTCTTACATCGCTGCTGAGATACCAACTACCAGTTCTACGTTCACCATCGGTGATGGCCTGAATTACGATGGTTACAATAACGCACCACTAGAACCCGGATGTAACTATAAAGCTTATGTGAGGGTTGTTACCATGGCACCGAATGAGGTAATAATAATCATGTATATAGATGCAAATGTCCGCGAAATGCTGCTTTATTTCTTTTTCAGAAAAGAGTTATCAGCGACGCGCCATTCGTATCTTTTACAACGAAATCTGGTGCGCAAGGCCATACTCAAGGTAGATTATTCCGTGGAAACCACAAACATTTATTATCAATAAATTGTTTATCTAGAATGAATTACGGATGTCTCCATCAAACCTGCCAAAAGACGAACTGATGGGAAGTAACAACCTTTCTAAAGATGATACCGTTTGTCATTTCATTACGTTCCGTTTGACGTCAAAACTTATAGACATTTATAAATTCATCAGGACATTCTGATAAGAATTCCAATGATCCATTGGTGATTGGTTTAGCCGTAGTTTTGGTGATGTCCATCGTCGCTCTGATTGGTCACATTGTGTATCATGTGATGACGAAGAGGAGAAAGAAAGAAAGGAAAACCGATGACAATCCGCAGATCGAGATCTCAGGTATTCAGAATTACATACATAAACTCTCAAATTATAAGTTGGAGTCTCTGCCAGCTCCGATGCGTTTTCTTAGCGATGTAAAGTGAGTCAAGGACAAGGCAGCAACGCTGTAAACATTTAAATTACTCTTTCACAACAACAGGTTTAGCGGGCGCGCGCGTTAATGCAGGAGAAACCTCTGACCAGCAAGACCAGAATTACCCGCCACAGCACAGCAAACATGTCATTATTCTTTTACTTCTATATGACGCTTGATTTGAAGGACTAATTTCCTTCGCCTATAAAACTACGTTGATTGAGAAGGTCTCACGTTTCTATCGGTTGGTTGTACAGGTCCAGCCAACATTTATTTACTTTTGACTGGCAGCCTACCCTGTTGTTCCCGCAACGAACCGTAACACCAACACGTTTTGCCCGTTTCCGCTTTTCCGACATAAATTTTTGAGCCTTAAACGCGCGGAATTGAATTTGGTTGCAAAATAGATTGCGCAAGACAAACAAATTCCCAAGAATGCGCACATTGCGGTTCAGTGCGAATCGATCCCATTCTTTAAGCTACTGTGAATATGAAGTAGATCTGGGATAAGAACTTTAAAGAATTTTTTTTTCTCACATACGGAAATTGGCCATCTTTGATTTTGAACCAATCAGAAAGCACATTTCAACAAGGAATCATTTTGTAAAATAAAGGAAACGAGCGCAAAGGTTCACGGATGCACGTGGAGAAAACTACCCTCTCTCGATATAGTGAAAAACACGCAAGTACTTCCTCTTGATTGTATAAATCATTTTACCTTCACAGATGCAGTCCGCTTGGCTGGTATTGATTCCCATTATCAGTCTCTCGTTCAACAGAATAGACCACAGCAACGTGAAGGCATTGGTAAAGAATCCGCCTACCACTATATCTCTAATGTCGTCGTTAGACCGGTGAGTGGTTTTTGGGTCGAGTGCTGTAAGATCTTGATTTCTGTAGGTTAAATTATTGGAATTGAAATACTTTGCCTTGGAGATAATCAAATTATAATTCCATAATTAATCCAGGCTGCAATTTTCGCATATTCATTGATAACCAATTATAATGGTTAAGTAGGAGAACAGTAAAGAGAATGGGTTGGTATAATGTTTCTTTTAACAACCTTTTATTAAAAATAAAAACTAATAAAAAAATGTGAGTTTTATTCTTCAAGGTCTTTGATTTAAATTCCTCCACTTTTTACAGGGAAAATCTACTTTGTCCCACATGGAAGAGCCGATATACGAAAGACCAATCTGATTGATCCTCAGAGTCATCAAGAAACAACAAATAAAAGCAACAAAATTCTCCACTAAAAATACTGAACGAAGACACTACGATGTCAAAAAGCTAAAAAAACTGAAACAGTAGAGCAGTAGAGATTTATCTAGCTATTTTTTTCCCAAAAAGATAAAATAGTCATTTTCACTAAGACGGCCGCCATCTTGAATTCTATTGTTTTGAGTATTGATTCAGTAAGAAACTATAGGATGCTTAAACCGGACGTAAACAAGAAATTTATAGACTGAATGGCTTTTAAAACGGGAAAATCAATAAAAAAGACAACACATTTGAATGTTTTGAAGAATCAATTTATGCTATTGAAGTCCAAAATTATCAGTGAAAGAAATTTTCGGTATCATTCTATATGACATTTGACATGTGCTTTTGTCCCCTGGACATCCAATAATTTCTTCAAAATTCAAGATGGCGGCCGTATTGCAAAAAAGGACCTATAATCCTTTTGCACTGAAGATGTCCCATTAGTAAAGGTCCCAGTCATGAGGGTCAGTTAGTAGCACTAAAAACAAACTCAAGATAGCTCTATGATAACTACCTTGGAGTACAACTTAAACATGTTAGCCACACGAGTAGTTCAAAGACAAACAGTATATAATGAATAGTACTTTCTATCAGGGGTAGATCCAGGGGGGGTGTCAGGGGGGTTCCCTAATAAATGTCTAAAACAATTCAGTGCCGTTACAGTATACCAGCTTGATAGATAACATAAAAAACGGTCAATATAACGACTGTTGATGCGTCATTTAAGGTACAAGTATCAGTAACACGATTAGAAATTTTATTTTGTTTTCAGAAAAATATTTGCGCATATTTCATGATACTTGGACCACGTTTGGCGTGCAGTTATAACTCCTAATGATACAATGTGAATAGAAAGCTGCTGGGCTCAAGGAAAACATAACGGCCGACTCTTTGACGAGAAAAGAAAAAAGGAAAAATACTGCCCATGAACCGAAACATCAGCAGTGCGAAGAACGTTTCATTTTAATGTCATGTTTAGAATTCAAACCCTAAAAGATAAAGTTTAAATAATCATATTTTCACAGAATGTGGTAAAAGTAGTCTCGAGAGCCCTTCCCTAGCCATAGTAGGTGTTCATATCTAGTATATGCAGGGTGATTAAATGGTCATTAACCTTTTGAATTCAGGGTAACAAACCAATTCAATGATTTAATATCATACCGTCCATTTCTACTTTTTTGTTTTATTGAAGTTTCAGTCAAAACATGTTCATACGGTATTTGATCGTCTGATTGACTAGGTGAACTTTCGACCACAAATTTTCTAACTGTCACATGTTGTCATCATTTCATGTAGCTCGAATTCGAAAGCTGGCACGAAAGTGTTGAAGTCGATGTGCATGCAAACACCTTATCGCGATTTGTTCACATAGAAAAGCTCAACATCTTTGATTTTGCCCACATCGGAAAGCACCTTCCAACGAGAAATCATTTGTAAAAAAGAAGAATGATCGCAGAGGTTCTTGGGTGATAGCATGTCTTTAAAACCTTCCGTTTAAGCAAGCCAATGAACCGAAAGATCGGCAATGCGAACGTTTCATTTTAACCTATATTTAGAATCCAAACCCTGAAAGATGTGATCAGTATATTATCAATATATGATCTTAGATCATCATATCTTCACCGAATGCTGTGTTGGGCGTTTTTGGGGAACATTGAGGTCATTTTCAAAACGCAAATTAACTCAAAATTGTGCAGTAAAAGTGCACTGTAACGTCTATCGAATACCATTACCACTGTGGGTACCCCCGGTCAGTCAATCTAATGATGCATCAGCTTCAAGCAATGAAACTTCATAATATGAGAGACTTTCGAAAAATCACAACAAAAGCTGAGAAGACATCAAAGACTGTAGTTTGCTTTAGCAAATGAAGCTGTGAATTCCAAATTGTTGGACTTTTAAGGAATGGAAAAAGGTCGAGTTAACGTTATTTTTGTTTGGTTTTTGGCTGTTTGTACTTGTTGTGCATCTGGTAAGGTATTTATTATCAAACATATGACAATCAATCAAAAAGATATTATGATATACGCAATAGCGTAACGGAAAACACTATATACCTGCTATTACAGTTGAAACGGATAAAAAGAATTCAATGCAATGATTTTGGCTAAAAAGAAGAGAAATTCTTGCACAAAGAATTCTTGAAAAATATTTTGTTAACTTGGCGTTGTATGTGAATTATGAAACGATATTTTTGGGGGGTTAGTTTGAGCAATATGCAAATTCGAATTTTTTTAAAATTAGTTTTAATATAGGTTTGAAAACCACTGAAAATTGCAAATAACTTTTAGAAATCTCTTCATAATGCCATAAAGTTAGATACCGGACCGAAAAAATATATGGTAGCATCACATCTATCGTGAATGTGATAACCAGCTATTTTCACGTGAAGGCACCATCGACATTGTGATAACGTTTTGACTTCCGATGAGGTAGGCAAACAGAAGTAAATACTCTATGGAAAACACAGATGGACTCTTCCCTAAACCTATACTCGGCCGGCGAACTATGCAGGCAGCCCGAGTAAGAAGACCGCGGTCTCTTAGTGAAATGGGGATTACTTTTGGTATTACGTCACGATCCCGTACCTCGTGGGATACAAGCTAGTCTGTTATAGTGATCGCAAGTCGCGATTCGGTTGTAGATGAATTTGACTTATAATAATACCTGAGCATAGGACAATTTGTCATAATATTCTATCCTTTATTTCTTTATCCAGGAACAGCGCCATTGAGGTTGCTGCATAAAACATCTTCTCAGTCAACAGTCCAGGGTATTCTGCAGATTTATCACAATGGTACATGGGGAACAATATGTGATGACTACTGGGATATGACTGACACAAACATAGCATGTATACAACTTGGATTTATGAAAGCAGTGGGGCACAAGCACTTAGGACAAGGAATTGATCCAATCTGGCTGGATGATGTGAAGTGTAATGGCAACGAATCATCTCTAGATCAGTGCAAACACCGAGGATGGGGTCTTCATAACTGCGGGCACATTGAGGACATTGGTATCATATGCAAACCAGCCAGTAAGGATGTCTTATTGTTATAACTGTAATTTTTCATAACCTTTAATCCATCATTTCCTAATTTATAGGAGCAGCATCATTGAGGTTGCTACGTATAACCTCTTCTCCGTCATCAGTTCAAGGTATTCTGCAGATATATTACAATCGTACATGGGGAACAATATGTGCTGGCTCCTGGGGCCTGACAGAAACAATCAAGCCGCCAATGGCAACACAACTCGAAGATTGATTGTGCAGACGAATACAGAAAGATATAATGATGAATCAAATTATAATTACTTAACGAATAGAATTTTAAATAAACGATTTATGAATATAGTTTTATAATTTAACTTCGGTTCTGGATAAACACAAGCGAGCGCCGGTGAGATGAATACCACTCGCGAGCTACAACTTTGAGTAAATGCTGCCACGACCAGAAGCGCTACATCTGGATCCGAAAAACAAATAAAATCACCGCAAGTGTCAAAAAACAATAACAACTAAATCCCTGAGAAAACTTGGAGTTCAATTATTAAGCAAACAATATACATTTCAATGTTGGTGGGCGAAAAAAAATTGAGTTTGCCTAATATAAAAATTATTCGCAAGGAAAACCAGAATCACCAGAGCAAAGGTGAAGCAAATCGACGAATACTAGTGATCACATGATCGCGTGGGCTTCCAACATAAAGAGCTTAAAGTTACATTATGGCTTCATTTCTCCACATTCATTACTGATGAAATTACCCAAAAACTAGTTTGACTTTTGTTTTAGCCACAAATATGTAAAATGTGCGATCTTTGGGTAAATGCGCTACATCTGGCAGCGAAAGACGCAAAAAATCACCCCAAATGTCAAAAACCAATAATAACAATCGATGTCGCTAGTCYAATTAAATCAAACAATATAAACTTCAACAAACAGCCAAATAGATATTTACTTAAATTGGATCATCAAAACATTTGTGGTTTAACCGTATCAACGATTACAATTGATACGGTCAATAGACAAAASATGTTTCATTGAAMGTTTAGTGTGGTTTTAGTGTGTCAAAAAACAATTTTGTTTAAAAAGCACCATGAAACAGTCAAATAGTATCCGCTTTAACAATTAAGGCTAAAGGGAMAATTTCTTTTAAAAAATATATTAATCTGTCGGAGAGAGAAATTTGTGTTTTTGGTACATTTATGTTCAAACCTAGATAACAAAGAAACTGTCCAAGTAAGTCCGCAATGAAATTTTGGATTTGTATCTAGAAGCAACAGATGTGCTGTTACAGATGCCTGTAACACATGCCTGTATATTATGCAAAAAACACTTTCAAATTGAATTCAGATAGTCTTTGAATGTTGATGTATAAGGAGTGCAAGAATATTAACTTGATTTTAGAGGATGTCAAGCAACTGTTATCCCTCCTTTGACGCACAGAACACACAAGATTTGGTTGAGGAAAACTAGTTTCGTCTTTACTAGAGCTTTTCAATTCCTCGATCTACAACTGTTGTGAATTGAAAAGGTTTAGTAAAGTCGAAACTAGTTTTCCTCAACCAAGTCTTTTGTGTTCTGTGCGTAAAAGGAGGGATATAAGTATTTTAACATCCTCTAAAATGAAATATCAAGATGAACTTGGGTTCTCGATAAGCACGGGCCAGCACCTTCGTACAATCATTTTCAAAACGACGAATTTGGAGGATCGTCTTCTTTGCTTTCTTCAACCTTTGTGACTGAACGGTAAGACGAATCAAATTATGATTTACTTTACAAATACAATTTTGATGTGAATGATTTATGAATACAGTTTTTTTTTTCACTAAAACTAATTATTTTTAACTTTGATTCTTGACAACCAGGAGCGAGCACCTGCACTTCACAGACAACTCTAACCACAATTATACGCGTGGCCGAATGGAAGTGCCTTCGATTTCTAAGACCGGTCTACACGAGCAATTTTTATGTGACAACTATATGTGACATTTTTTTTGTCCGTGTTGACAGGCAGCCAGAAATTATTGTTGAAGACTCGCGCCAACTGTGATTTTGCACAGCGGAGATGTCAATAAACAAAACAAATTTAAAATACAATAAGTTATTACCGTTCTTATACGGTAAGTTATTTCCCATATTTTTTACGGTGTTAAACTTATCTTCTTTACACAACTGTTTCTTTAGAAACACCGACGCAGCTCACACTAGTTTACCGCTAGTTCCCACCATTTTAAAATACGATATATTTTTTAATAATTTTAATATATTTTTTTAAATATATATTTTTAAATATATATTTTAAATAAATTTTTTATTTTTTAATCTTAACATGTTTCAGAAGAATGAGGATGGCATAATGTAATGCTGAAACATGTTAAGATTAAAAAAAATATATCGCATTTTTTAAAGTTTTATTAAAACAAATTTAGTTGGTGTTAGCTCTTGCAACAACAATAATACCATTCTCTCTATCGAATCCAGTCGTTCTGCTTACTATCGGTGTCGCCATCTTGGTTGGTGTGCAAAATGTTGAGACTTGGATTCAGTGTGACGTCGAAATAATTGCCACATTTATGTGACGCTCGTCCACACGGGAAATTATCAATATGTGACAATTACATAAAAACTAGCATGCCAGCTTTCCAGTAACTACAGTTGTCACATAAAATTTGTCCAATTTTGCTCATCTACCGCGGGCAATTAAAAATTGTCACATAAAAATTGCTCGTCTAGACGGGGCTTAATTCACAGTTCTGAAGTTCAAGACTCAGAGGAGCTGACATTTCTTTAGATTTCTTTCTTTGCCAAAAAATAAATAAATTCAATCAAATATAGAACAGGGAACCCGGTAACGGTAACTTAATGAAAAAATTAATAGAGAACAATGAGAATAAATAAATAGTTTTGAACACAAGTAACGCAGGCTCAAGTTTACAGGAAAGTGAGTGAGTGAGTGAGTGAGTGAGTGATTGAGTGAGTGAAAGATTCGTCCCCCTCCAATAACTCTT